ATTGTTTACATTGGCAGAGCTCTGTTCTGTGTTCTGCCCGACGATGGATGGGTGCTGGCAGACATCCGTTCACCGGCACTTGTAGATAGGCTTCTGCTGTGAGTGTTCATAGTAGAAAAGGTCCACCGGCAGCACGCACGTGCCCCCCCTATGGTGAAAGTGCAAACTCACACACACACACATATATACAGTGGGGCAAAAAAATATTTAGTCAGCCACCAATTGTGCATGTTCTCCCACTTAAAAAGATGAGAGAGGCCTGTAATTGGCATCATAGGTAGACCTCAACTATGAGAGACAAAATGAGAAAAAAAATCCAGACAATCACATTGGCTGATTTGGAAAGAATTTATTTGCAAATTATGGTGGAAAATAAGTATTTGGTCACCTACAAACAAGCAAGATTTCTGGCTCTCACAGACCTGTACCTTCTTCTTTAAGAGGCTCCTCTGTCCTGCACTCATTACCTGTATCAATGGCACCTGTTTGAACTTGTTATCAGTATAAAAGACACCTGTCCACAACCTCAAACAGTCACACTCCAAACTCCACTATGGTGAAGACAAAAGAGCTGTCGAAGGACACCAGAAACAAAATTGTAGACCTGCACCAGGCTGGGAAGACTGAATCTGCAATAGGCAAGCAGCTTGGTGTGAAAAAATCAACTGTGGGGCAATAATTAGAAAATGGAAGACATACAAGACCACTGATAATCTCCCTCGATCTGGGGCTCCACGCAAGATCTCACCCCGTGGTTTCAAAATGATCACAAGAACGGTGAGCAAAAATCCCAGGACCACACGGGGGGGACCTAGTGAATGACCTGCAGAGAGCTGGGACCAACGTAACAAAGGCTACCATCAGTAACACACTACGCCGCCAGGGACTCAGATCCTGCAGTGCCAGACGTGTCCCCCTGCTTAAGCCAGTACATGTCCGGCCCCGTCTGAAGTTTGCTAGAGAGCATTTGGATGATCCAGAAGAGGATTGGGAGAATGTCATATGGTCAGATGAAACCAAAATAGAACTGCTTGGTAGAAACACAACTCGTCGTGTTTGGAGGAGAGAGAATGCTGTCCAAAGAACACTATACCTACTGTGAAGCATGGGGGTGGCAACATCATGCTTTGGGGCTGTTTCTCCGCAAAGGGGGACCCGGACGACTGATCCAGGACGACTGATCCATGTACAGGACAGAATGAACGGGGCCATGTATCATGAGATTTCGAGTGCAAACCTCCTTCCATCAGCAAGGGCATTGAAGATGAAACGTGGCTGGGTCTTCCAACATGACAATGATCCCAAACATACCGCCAGGGCAACGAAGGAGTGGCTTCGTAAGAAGCATTTCAAGGTCCTGGAGTGGCCAAGCCAGTCTCCAGATCTCAACTCCATAGAAAAACCTTTGGAGGGAGTTGAAAGTCTGTGTTGCCCAGCGACAGCCCCAAAACATCACTGCTCTAGAGGAGATCTGCATGGAGGAATGGGCCAACATACCAGCAACAGTGTGTGCCAACCTTGTGAAGACTTACAGGAAACGTTTGACCTTTGTCATTGCCAACAAAGGATATATAACAAAGTATTGAGATGAACTTTTGATATTGACCAAATACTTATTTTCCACCATAATTTGCAAATAAATTCTTTCCAAATCAGCCAATGTGATTGTCTGGATTTTTTTTCTCATTTTGTCTCTCATAGTTGAGGTCTACCTATGATGCCAATTACAGGCCTCTCTCATCTTTTTAAGTGGGAGAACTTGCACAATTGGTGGCTGACTAAATACTTTTTTTGCCCCACTGTGTATATATAACTATATATATATATATATATATATATATATATATATATATATATATATATATATATATATATAAAATTTTTGCACAGGAGGGCCACCCTGTAGCAGTAACTGCTATAGGGTGGACCTTAAGTGGTTATAAACCTGACACAAATGTTTATCTCTTCTCCACTCTCAAAGCTAAAGAACAAAATGCCTGAACTTAGGCTGTAAACATGATTGTGACAAGTACATTGTATACATTGTATATTGTATATGGATTACTGGGGATTATAACTGGAAATATAAGCAGTAATTTGTTATAATATGAAAATTATATTGAAAGGGCCTCTCCAGTCTTAAAGTGTATCTATGGTTAAAAAATGTAAAATTGTATATTAATTTCCACTTTGTTTTTGATATATTTCCAGCCTACTCCTATTATCCTGAATGATCTTGAAGTTTGTAAACTTACTTTGTGAAAATCCCCACACATTGACTTCCTTGAATTCTGTGTCATGTATTCACTATGCCCTGAGAGTAGTGTCACACATTTCACAGAGCCTGCCTTCTGAACTACAGAGATGCTGAGAGGAGGAGTTTCAAGAGGCGGAGTAAGTACAGGACTCATTACTTGCAGGCAGCAAGGTACCATGGGATATGTAGTCTTTAGAAATTGAAAGTAAGCAGCAGAGAAGAAGCTGCAAAGCATGCAGGAATCCAGGAAGTTGTGGAAAAAGATGACCAGCAGACAGGCAACAGGAGATTTTTCAATTCAGCTTATATTGGAATGTCAAATATAACTATTGATTTTATTGCTATTACAATGCTGATGTTATAAAATGAAAAAGTACACGTGACCATAGTCTTCCTTTAAAAAACAAAATGTAAAAAACCCTTTGTCTTATGGCAGTTGTTGTTTACAGTAATCCATAAATGCCATGGTCAAGGGCCAAGGGCACTTGGTAGTTTGCTTACTTTGTTGCCATAGAAATCTGGCAGAGCATGTACTTTGGAAAGCCTTAGTTGATCCAAATCATCACCGATATCTCAAAAGCCTGCAGGACACATAAAATACAGTTAAATGTGGAAAGTGTCCTGCTGCTTCTAGAGGCAATATATTATACTTCCAGTTACTTTTAGATATACATGTAAATAATATCAGTTTAATGTAAGTTATGTTATCAATGTAGCCAAGGTTTTTTATTTATTTATTTATTTTTATATTTGTAGCGCTACCCCCCGAAGAAGCTGCTTGATAATTTTGGGTTCACTCTTCTTTTGTTCCAAGAACAACCTCAATCCCTGTGGCACACCTGGTTAAATGAGATAACTGCGAACCCAAATGCTAATGACACCAAAAGGAATAGGTTTGCAGACTAATATTTTTACTAGAGACAATAAAGTCAACAGGTGACCAAAATTGTACACTCCAAATTGTAGAGTTCAGCATTAAACAGAGTCACAAAACATATGCAATACATAGATTGTACACCTCTTGAGGGTTAGGGACTGATGTGAATGTACAATATATATGTAAAGCACTGCGCAAATTGACAGCGCTATATAAGTACCTGTAATAAATAAATATGTGAAATCAGAGTAAGAGTTCCCCTTTAAGGTTACCGGTTGCTACACAAAAAAAGGGGGATTAATCAGTGACAGATTCTGAAGGCTGAATCCTTTGAGTGGAGGAGTCCTTGAAGTAAGGGTGTCTGTGGTCTTTAGCCATCTACAAAGGGGCCCAAAGGTTTTATTTCTGTGCAATGGCAACCAGCAAAGTGAATAGAATAGACAAGGCATTTCCTGGCAAAGGCCCTTTTAAGTGGATAAGGGTGTAACGGTGTCTGCATGCAGTGTCTCTGAGTGGATTATTAAAGAGTAAGGTAGGCCAATCCTGGAGATATCAAGGCTCTTGGAGGAAATGTCTCCCAGAACAGGCTCTTGAAGGTCTGCAGCCAGATGAAGGATGCCCAATTGGCAACTTGATGACCCAGGGACTCAGCGATGTATACATGGGCATATTGGAGGTAGCCCCAAATGGCCACACTGCACATGAGGTGCCTGTGGCTGTAGATCTGCACCCAGTGATGGAGTTTGCTGGCACAAAGAATCTCTACTCTGCCCAGACAGCAATGCCCATATACAAACAGGTAAATGGGGATAGACTCTTGCTCCTGAAGCTGTGGATACCTAGTCCCCCTCCACACAGTCCTCTCTTTCTTCTCCTCTCTGTGATGGCATGGGCAGCGTGGTTCTCTTTCCTGTTTTCCTTCCTTGGCTCATTCTCCCACTCTCTCCTTCAGCAGCTTACAGACCATCCCCCTTCTTCTTCCCGGGCTCCATGGTTCTCACTTTCTGCTTCTGGAGCATGCTGGGGTCTGTAGTCCATGCCCCATAAAATCCAATAGGCTCCCTGTCTTCTAGGACTACATGAACCAAGATCCCCTCTTCCCTCGGCAGCTTATTGGCCCTCCATTTTGGTCAAAGAGGGAGAAGGGGAGGAATCAGAATGGGTGAGGACAGGCCGGATCCATGTTCTGAGAGGCCATTTACAGTATATTGTAACTTGACCAGCAGGCTATCTGGATTACATGCACAGTTTAAGTAGCTGGAAGGAGGTCTCATGACCCTTCTAGTAAAGTTAGTATCTGTCTACATTTTCTATCTGCAGGAGCAGTCAATAAGGGCATGGCTAGGGCCCAGAACCATCTGTGAACACTTTAAAATGTAATCACTGTATTAAATGGGCATTAAAAAAATATAAAAAACTTTAAGTAAATCTGGTCAAAACCATGAAAAAAGTCTTAAAATTCAAAGAATGTGAAGATCTCCTGTTTACGTATAGTCATATATTGGTCATATACAACGCAATCAAAGCAGTAACACTGAGCAGCAGAACCTGCACCTTGCGAATGGTTTGTCTACATGGGCATTTTTTATCTTCATTTGATTTTCATTTAAAATCCATTTCAAACACTAGCCCACAGATTCTCAATGGTACAGTGTAGATGACAGCACTGATGATTAGTTTGACCTGCTCTGCATTGCATTCTTCTGAAAGCAGCATGCAATGTTTGTCAAAAGCAACCTGTTGTGTTCAAACCAATGTGGAAAATAGTGTGTATGTGTATGTATACACACATATATAAATTAAAGGAACACTTTGAAAACACATCAGATCAATGATGGGGAAAGATATCATGCTGGATATCTATACTGATATGGACTGAGTAATGTGTTAAGAATGTAAGGATGCCCCAGGGGCGGACTGACCATTTGGAAACTCGGGCACTGCCTGAGGGCCGGGGTCAGTAGGGGGCCCCATGATATGCCTCTGGTACCTTTTTCATAGGCTTTTTTGAGTTTGGGCAAGGACACAGGGGCCCCATGATCCCCTATTGCCCGGGGGCCCCATGATCCCCTATTGCCCGGGGGCCCCATGAGTTGTCAGTCTGCCCCTGGCCCCATCGTTTGATGGAAATGAAAATGATCAACCTACAGAGGACTGAATTCAAAGACACCCCGAAAAGCAGTGAAAAAATGATGCGGCAGGCTAGTCCATTTTGCTGAAATTTTGCAGCAACTCAAAATGGTACTCAGTTTGTATGGCCCCCCCGTGCTTGTATGCATCCCTGACAACGCTGGGGCGTGCTCCTAATGAGACGACAGATTTGTGTCTTGGGGTATTCCCTCCCAGATCTGAACAGGGTATCACTGGAGATGGACTGAAACACGAAATCCCAGAGGTGTTCTATTGGATTTAGGTCAGGCGAGCGTGGGGGTCATTCAGTGGTATCAATTCCTTCATCCTCCAGTAACTACTTGCATACTCTCGCCACATGAGGCCGGGCATTGTCGTGCACCAGGAATAGGAACCCAGAACCCACTGCACCAGCGTAGGGTCTGACAATAGGTCCAAGGATTTCATCCCGATACCTAATGGCAGTCAGGGTGCCATTGTCTAGCCTGTAGAGGTCTGTGCGTCCCTCCATGGATATGCCTCCCCATCACCTGACCATCTCTTGCCCACCAACAAAATGATCATGCTGATTAAAAAGTGTTCCTTTAATTTTATTTGAGCAGTATATAATATTTATATATATATATATATATATATATATATATATATATATATATTACACTATTGACAACAAGGTAGTAAGAACATTATGCATATTTTTAAATTGACTCTGTTACCAAAATAGAAAGCAGTATAATAATAATACATAGGTCTTTTTGTTTTTTGTGGGAACACAGAGGAATGCACTTCTGGCACCTCCAGCAGTGTATGTATGTGGCAAAGGGTGCTGGGGATGTGCCAGAGGGTCCACTGATCCTGCATGCTTTGGAATCTATTGTTAAGGCAGGAGTCTATTGTTGCTGGGGGGGGGGGGATTAATTGCTGCTGGGAGAGGTCTATTGTTGCTGACTGTTGAAGGGTCTATGAAAGCTGGAAGATCTATTGTCGCTGATGGGATATTTGTTCCTGATGTGGATCTATTGTTACTGGGTGTTATTTTGTCACTGGGGGGGGGTGCTGTTGTTGCTGGTGAGATGCTATTGTCGTTGGCTGCAGGAAAGCTATTTCACTGCCTTTCTTGTTATCATTATCTAATTCTAATCAGATTACTTAGCACCATAAAATCATACCTAGTTCTAATTTCTCTAAAAGAGGGTATTTGGTGGAACCAAGGGATGGTGCTTGGAGGTAGGGGACTCAGAGGTGGGAAGTACCTTCAGCTATTCTCTGAGGAAATCTTTCACTGGCCAAAGAATATTCAGCATTTGACACTCTTGCCTGCTATGGTTCCATCCACTAGAAACAATGTCACTGCTGTGTCCTCTAGTGAAGTAGTGGCCAGTAGGTGAAACCACATGAGCAGCAGGGAACGCAGGCATCTTACACAGCTGAAACTGTCAGATGCTGGAAAATCTTTCGCGTTTTTTTAAGAAAGGGTTACAAATCAAAAGATGTAGTTAGAGAACACGTTTTACTAGCAAGTTAGAATGAATGGTTGAAGTAGTGACTAGTAGTGACAGTACTGGAATTGTGTCATCTGCTGAACACAGGGGTTCTTTGGGGTTCTCCAAATTTTGTTTTAATAAAATATCAAATAGCTGAAAAACTAAAGCAAATTATTGGTACCAACAGCATTATTAGCTTTCAAAAAGACAGAAATAAATGTACTTTTCAATATTTATCTGCCAGGGCTGCTTTCTAGACCCAGAAATAATCAGCTGTATGTTTTATTATTCTGATATAATAATACTAATAATTATTATTATTATTGTTAAAAAGATACTTATTGGTCTACTTGGTTACTCATCAATAAATAAAAATATAAGCTTCCTAAAAAATGTCTCCCACTGTGCTTGGCATACCGTTACAAACAGCTTCTCACATGGTTTAAAACATACATAAGAGGTTACTACAGTAGCTTTCTCTTGCCAGAGTAAATACATCAACAGATTAACAAATGCTTTCAAAATGAGATGAATTTGGGAAGGTTCCAAGTGGATACCTATAGGATTAAATACCGCACAGCCCTGAATGGTGTGGCTTCTGCTGCACCAGTCCTCACTACCAGCTGCTTTCTCTGTCAGAATATTAAATGCATGGATAATACTAATCCCAGCCATCAGCCATTTACAAGCGCCAGACTCAATCTTTTCAGCAGAAAGCAATCAAAAATGTACTACCAGCACTGATTCGCACTAAACACGTCCTAAGAGAGATATGGTATCATTGCTGAACTCTTGTTTTGAAGTAGCTAGTTTGCTGACTGTTTTGGTAATCCAAAGGCTTCAATGGTTTTTGAACCACACGCCTGAAACATATTTACCAATCAGGAGTTCTAATTTTTCTGATCTTTTGCAAAAGTAGTAAATGCAACAACAGTGATCTAATGGTCAATGTGCATTTACTCATTTTTGCAATGAAGCCTGCAGAGCATTGCACATGCTTCCATTTCTTTTTGTCATAGTTTCACAAATTTTAGGGCTCTTTCACACAGGATGGACCCATTTAGCGGATCCGCTTGCTCAGTGGGGGATCTCTCTGCTGAACCCTGCTGAGCAAACGGATGACAGCTCTCTGTCTGCTCCGCTGCTGCAGAGCAGACGCAGAGCTGCTCGCTATCCTCAATGTGCAGTCGGATGAAAATGGACCACCTGTCCATTTTCATCCGATCCGATCCAATGGATGTAAGGGAATTGGATCCCCATCTGTCCCTTTTTGGATCGGATGTCGACGGGTGTAAATGGACACATGTCCATTTACACCCGCCGCTCCATAAAGGAGAATGGAGGTTCCGATCGGGTCCGCCTGAAAAACGGGCAGAAGGACTTTGGAATCGGAACTTTCGTGTGAAAGAGCCCCTTAATGACTTATTTTATTTACCACTTTTTGGATACCTTTGGGAATTTGTGGCTAATTTATCAAGACAACTTTATGGGGTTTAATTACTAAAACTGGAAAGTGCAAAATCTGGTGCAACACTACATAGGGACCAATCTGCTTCCAGAATATACTGTATGGCCAAAGCTTAATTGAAAAAAATCAAGTTAGTAAATCAATCCCTATGTCCTTCCAACACATCACACTAAACTCTTGTGTATATATAAATATATATTGTTCAGCTTTAGAGGATATGTTCACCTTTGGGAACATGTTACATGCTCCAGCTGTTTCTAGGGTGGAACATGTAACATGTTCTCACCACTGCAACTGCTGACCGATCCCCCCACCTTCACTGTGATAGCACTAGAGGGAGAAGTTCCCAAAAAAATCTGTCACTTTTCAAAAAGAGCATGGCTGTGCAGGCCTCTGCCCACATGGCCACATCATTCATTCACAGAGATCTGTAAATGAATGAACTACAAGTCCCGACAACCTTTACGGCTTTCGGCTTGTAGTTCTCAATGAACTACCACGGCTCTGTTGAGCACTATGGTAGTTCATTGGGCCTTCCTGTCAGACTGTATCTGCTTGCCTGTATGGGATGTATGGGCAAGCAGATACCCTGACAGGTTTGCAGGAGTCCAGCATGGGACCAGCGATCTACTGATTGCTGGTGCAATGGTTTTCAGGCTCCAAAAAAAAAGTAAATGCACATTTATTTACTTGCAAAAAATGGGCATTTTTTTTTTTTAAAAGTGAACTTTCCTTTAAAGTGTACCTGATAGATGGTTAATAGGATGGAAAATATTTAATTTTCTTAGCAGAGTGTGGATGGGGCCAGCTTGTTGGTACCCTACGTGGACTAACTGCACACAGTGACCAAGGAGTGTGGCACCTGTCTTAGAACAAAGTTACACAAACAACAGTCATTAACCACTTCAAGTCCAGGCACTTTCACCCCCTTCCAGTCCAGGCCAATTTTTCAGCTTTCAGCCCTGTCGCACTTTGAATGACAATTACGCGGTCAGGAAAATGTAGCATGATGTCCCCATCCTGTAGTGAATAAGTGATACAAAGATAGTCAATATGGTTGTCACTCAGGATATCAAGACTGTAACGGCAGTGCACCATGCTGCCCTCTTATATATATGTGGTGAGTGGAACATCGCTTATATAAGAGGGCAGCACGGCTACATTTCCTGAAAGGTGTACAGCACTCTACTTTTATCATATGGCATGGATATCCCTATATTCCACATCACAGATTCTTAATAAGGGAGTTATATAAGCCGCACGCTGGCGGTGAAGAATTCCTATATTTTATTGGCAGGGCCCTGCCACTTCAACTATAGATGGCGGATGCTATATGATGACATTACTATGGTTGCAAAGTATATTCTATTCCATCACTCTGGAAATGACTGTCTTCATTTAAGATCCTACCACTCATTTTGCTCCGTGGTTCCTACTGTGGATTATTACTTAATTCTGTGTGTTGCACAGTCAGTAGAATTGCAATTAGACTGCCTCAAGTCTCTCTCTGACTATTTTCCTGAACTGAATGTTTAGGGTTAATATTGGGTTCCTGAATTCATCCATTATTGGTACTAATGTATTTGTTATATGCAGTATTGCATTTCTGATGTTTTGCCTTATGGTACAATTTTTTAACACATCCCCTGCATGGTGGTGTTACCTATGTGTCAGTGCTGTCCAGGGGCGGACTGCCCGAGGGCCCGGGGTCAGTAGGGGACCCCATGAGATGCCCCTGGTACCTTTTTCATAGGCTTTTTTGAGTTTGGGCAAGGACACAGGGGCCCTATGAGCCCCTATTGCCCAGGGGCCCCATGAGTTGTCAGTTCTCCCCTGGTGCTGTCTATGTACTAGACCTAGTGTCATTACATTTACAGCACTCAATATTTATGACTGGTCATTATTATTATTATACAGTATTTATATAGCGCCAATGGTTTGCTCAGCGCTGGTCAGGACGTCTGTTTTTAACCTTCTGGTTTTA